CTAGATGGTATTAAGAAATAAGCCCTAAACAAGGTGCACAACACATGTGTGACAATATTCTTTCTTCAGTATCCACTTTACCCTAGTGTGCTGATTTCCAGTTTGGTTGTCATATCCATGTTCATAACAATACCAAAATAGATTATGGAGACCAAAATCTAATATTGTTTCTTTTTCATGATAAACATCTTTTATTATATCTCAGTGTGCAAAAATACAAATTATCTTAAAAAAATACAGAGCACTCTCGCTACGGATCTGGGCAAAGACATGACGAACAAAAATTCCCTAACAGATGACACTGAACACTTCAGTGGATTGATTCTGGGAACTACAGTAGCCCTGCTCTCATTATACTATGAAGTCAAATTAATCAACTTTGATAATGATACACACTTAAACTATCAAAATCAATTAAGGCACAGTATCATTCAAAATTTATAGACAGAAGAGCAATAATCCCAAGAAAATATAATTAAAATACTCTGCTGAACATGGAATTATACATTTGTAACTTAACACTGGCAAAATTTGGAATGATTATAGCATAAAAGACATTGTTTTTCTGAAAAGTGGACGAGGTGTGGTATATAGGAAAGTGGCTCAGATTCAAGACTCAAGTTTATTTTTTAAAAGATCTCTTCTGCATTAGATTCTAGGTCTCTTTTTTGGTTTCAAAACTGGGTCCACAATCCATAAAAATGACAGTAATGAACATAGCATAAAGATCTGAAAAAGAATCTGATTATACCAGCAGTTTGGTAACATATTGGTAGAGCTGTTCCGTAAATGCTTCAGGAGAAAATTTTTCCTTTACCCTGGCTCTTCCAGCCAGGCCCATGGTGGCTTTTAAGGAAGGTTCATGGATGAACTTTTCTATTGCTTCTGAGAAGTGCACCGGGTCAGGCTCACACAGAAACCCTGTGACACTGTGGTCAATGGACTCCAAGGGTCCCCCTGAATTAACAGCAATGACTGGGCACTGCATGTACATGGCTTCCAGAGGGACAATGCCAAAGTGCTCATTGCTTGGTGTGTAAAGCACACACGTGCAGCTGTGGAGGAGGGAGATTTTCTGTTTGTCTGAGAAAGACCTCAGAAAGGTCACATACTGGCCAAGGTCAGACTGTTGGACCATTTTCTTCAATTCTTGGTAATGTTCCACATTCTCCAGGACTCTCTCGTCATAACCACCTGCCACGATCAGATGAACCCTCTCCCAATCTTGGGATGTCAATCTTCCACGCAGCTGTACTAGGGCTTCCAATGCCAAAGTCAGATTTTTCTTTCTTTCGTATCTGTTGATAGAGAGCAGCAGGAATTTTTTCCCCTTGGGGACTAGGTCATCAAGCTTTTCAGGAACAACTGAGTCAAAGCTGGTGACATTTAGAGATGGATAGAGGACATCAGGGTCTATGTGAGACAGGGACTTGAATGTTTTCTTAAAAACAGCAGCTGTGAACTGGCTGTTGACTAAGATGCAGTCTGCCATGCCTGTGGTGTATTCCTCTATCCAGTCAATCGGGGCCCTGTATAGCCGTTTAAGGAAAGAATCTCTCTTGGTGAGAAGCAGATCTGGGAAGTGACAGTAAAACAGGATCTTCTTCCGCCGTCTAGCCAGCCTGAACACTGGAATACAGGCGGACACCTAGCCAAAGCAAAAATCAACAGCAGATAAAGTGGTCAACTCAACTTCAACCAAACCAAAAACACAGACACCCATCCTACATGCTAGTTTGAGGGCTCCTCATAGGCAATGTCTACTTCTGTTTTGTTCCCCAAGACTCTCAGCCAGTACCATATGCCTGGTGTACAGAAGGCTAGAGACGTTTGCTCGATGTGTGCTAAATATTTAAAGATTCAAGTCCAGTGGTTTCCTCTTGAATAGTGCTGTCTAATAGAAATCTAGTAATATTAAAAATGTTTTCAAGGGTGAAATTAATTTTAACATATTATTTACCCAAAACATTATCATTTCAAAATGTAATCAATACTAAATAGTATTAATGAGATACTTTATATATACATATATTTCACGTTAAATCTTCAAAATCAGTTTGTATTTTAACTTTAGCGCATCTCAGTTTAGACTAGCCACATTTCAAGTGCTCAACAGCCACATGTGGCTAGTGGCTACCATATTGAACAGTGCCGCTCTAGGATCTTTCTCCTCCTAAGGAAATGAATGAATGAACTACAGTAGTTGAGAGGATAAGCTCTAGATTCAAGATTGCCAGGGTTTGAATCTCAGCTCTACTAATTGTGTGGCCACCATCAAGTAATTTATCCCACTCTGGGCCTTAGTTTCCTCTTCTGTAACACGGTGACAATTATAGTTCAAAAAACCCATATAATTTTTGTGATGACTAAATGCACTGATATATGCAAAACACATGAAGTTTAGCACACAGTATGTGCTCAATAAATATTAAAGCTAGTCATCATTGAGCATGTACTACATGCTGGCATTACTACAGACTTTCTCGTTGGGTAATCTTTACAAGTCATTTTAGTCTCAGCTAACTTAACACCTGAAGAAGGTAACTTTAGGCATAACGTGCAATTTATTCAAAGCCACTTAATTAAAGCAGTAGATAACAGAACTTGAACCCAGGATGCCTATTTCCAAGTCAATATTTTTCCTCTACCCACTGTAGTCTCAGCTGCCCCACGCCTACTGACACATGCAGGATATTTGGTAAATGTCCGTATTACTTAAAAAGAAAGCTTCCATGCAAGCAAGGATGATGAAAAGTAACTCAGGAGTCATAATTAAAGAAAAACAAATACAAATGTGATGCCATTTGCACCTATCAGTTTGGCAAAGATTAAAACGGTTAATTTTAATATCAAGGCAGACAAAAGCATGGATCATACATTGTTGGGCAGTAAAGTGACACGGCCTCTTTGGTAGATAAACTTGGCAGTAGCTGTTGATATTTAAAATTAACAACTTTTAGACACACCAACTTTACCAATTTCCTCAAAGGACGTATTTGCAGAAGTACAAAAAAATAAAAAAAAAAGAAGTAAAAGGATGTTCATTACAACACTGATCTATTCACAAAAAAAAACTAGTCACAGCATTAGTGTCCTTTAAGAAGAATGTTTAATTATGATACACTTAAACAAAAGTGGATTTTCTGGCCACTATGAAGAATGAAGTCAATCTCTAATACCGATACATAAGAATGTCCCGGCTGGGCACGGTGGCTCATGCCTGTAATCCCAGCACTTTGGAAGGCCGAAGTGGGTGGATCACGAGGTACGGAGTTCGAGACCAGCCTGGCCAACAGGGTGAAACCCCACGTCTCTACTAAAAATAGAAAAAAATTAGCCGGGCATGGGGCGCGCGGCTGTAATCCCAGCTACTCCAGAGGAGGAGGTTGCAGTAAGCCAAGATTGCGCCATTGCACTCCAGCCTGGGAGACAGAGCGACTCTTAAATAAGTAAATAAATAAATAAATAAATTTTTGTTGAAAAAGAAGATGCCTAAGAGTAGGTATGTCATAATACCAATAAGAAGATATGCCTATGAAAAGACACAGGCTGGTGTCACCACAACTTCTGAAAAAATACAAGAGAAACTTAACGGTGGCTATCTTCAGGGAGTAGAATAGGATGTGGCTTTTAGGTTACATCCTTTTATACTACTGAATTTTTAGTCGAGTGAATGTTACTTTTTAAAGTCATCTTTTTTAGGATGGGAAAAATGCATAAAGGAAAGAGTCGAGAATAGCTACAGGGCAGATCCAGGTGGACATTATTGACTAAGGTAAAAAGCTTGAACTTTTTTCCAAAAACCAATGGGGAGCCATGTACAAGTTTTAATAGGAGTATGATATATTCAGCTTGGCGTTTTTAACACATGACACTGCTGAGGACGGTGTGGCCTGGCTCCGAACACAAGGACAGCGGGATGCAAATGGCCTGAAAGGAGAGTCAACAAAAATAACAGATAAGAGGTAAGACAACACGCCGAGTTACTCATTAGTAAAAGGTGACTGAAGCTGACTTCGAATAACAGCGTTTCTCACACCGAGCCCCAAGGACTATCTGCATCCAAATCACCCTATGACCGAGTTAAAATGCAGATTTCTGGGCCCCACCTCATGGCTCCTGGATGAAAACTTCCTGGAGGGTGGAACCCTAGCAATCTGCAACTTTAAAAATCTCTAACACTAAAGTTAGGGAACCACAGGCTCGCTCCCAGCCCTGACTTCTCCAGGTCAGCTCCGATCTTTCCGAATCGCAGACAGGGAAGGTCCTCTCTCGGGAGTCATGCCCGCGGCCGCCCTCCACTGCAAGGTCCGCACTCGCGCAGCCGGCCCCGCGGCCGCCTCACCTGGTCGCACACTACCACGTCGAACTCCTCGTCGGCGAGGAACAGCACGTAAAGCGCCAGGAAGACCATGCGCACGTATGCGCAGACGGCGGCACCGCGGCCGCCCCAGCCCAGGCCGCGCGGCAGCCAGTCTCCGGCACAGTGCACCGGTAGCTCGCGGCTCTCGGCGAAGCAGTGGCCCGGGTCGTAGTGCGCTGTCCAGATCTTCACGTTACACCCACGCGCCTGCAGCGCCAACGCCGCGTCCAACACCAGACGCTCAGCGCCTCCCACGCCGAGGTCTGGGTGCAGGAACAGCACCGACGGCTTGGGAACCAGGTCCCGTTGCCAGTCCTGCTCCTCCGCCATTGCCCTGGAACCGCAATCCCCGCACCCTGAGGGGTTTTCTGCACAAGCTCCCCCCCTAGCTACCAGCTGGCCACTGCGGGCCGACCCCGCCCTGCCGTACGTGCGTCAGTTAGGCCACATCAGCGCAAATCTGTGAGAGCCTAGTAACTGCCTGAGAAAATAGCTTGTCTGACCCTGGTTATATTTTTCCTTCTGTAGGGATTGGACTCTACGAAGGACGTTGTGATCCACAGGAAGGAGGCCGGAGGTATCTACTTCCCACACAGCAGGTAACTAAGTTATCTGTAGCAGACTGTCCACAGGCATATCTTGAGACGACCCAGGCGTCCCTGGAGTCAGCGAGGACCTTGCCTGCAAGTCTGGGGGCGGGGCCTGAGCCAGTCTCGCCCGCTGTCGGTCCTTCCGCGTCTCCGCAACTTTCCTTCCGTCCGCGTCAGCTCCTTGCCATCCGCATCTCCAGCATGGTATGGCGGCCCTTCCATGATCTCCGCCTCTTCCAGGAGCCCTGACTCCTCCTGCTTTGCGCCGTGCCTTTCCTCTGCAGCTCCCTTGCTTCCCCCAGCTTCGGGTGCGGGTGTCTAGGCCGGGGTTTTGGGGGCAGGCCTGCAGCGCTCACCTGTGTCTACTTGTCTCCCGTTACAGCCTGGTCCGACCCCCAGTGGTACTAACGTGGGATCCTCAGGGCGCTCTCCCAGCAAAGCCGTGGCCGCCCGGGCGGCGGGATCCACTGTCCGGCAGAGGTAAGGAACCCTACAGTTCGTTCGATTGCAGAGTCGGAGATAGGACCCAGGAACTCGCTGGTTCTGGGGTGGAGACCCTAATATATGAAGATTGACAGGGGCAAAATGAGCTTCTAGTGACGTGGTCATGGGAGTAAAGGCCTTTTGGGAGGAAGGCGACATTTTCTTCTCGTTGTTCAGTTTAGGGCACCACTCTTAAAAAAGGAAAGTTAACAAACTGGAATAGAGTCAGAGATAACTTTGAGAAAACCGATGTCATTAAACTGGTGTCTCTGGACCTGAGGTTTGCAGTCATATTTCCATCTGGAGGCCCCATAAGCAATCTGTCCTACAGATAACTCGTCCTACACAAAACTTAGTCTCTTTTCAGCTCAGCTCTCTCACTCTCAATTATATCTCCTTACTTCCATATGGCACTGTTGTACACTCATTTACTCGGAGCCAGAAACGTCAGCGTCATCTTGGATTTTTCTTATGCTCTCTATCCAGTCATATGCCAGACTTTAAACTGTATTTGAAAGCCTTCTCATAAGCTCTTTCCTTCTCCCTTCCTACTGCCCTCCATTTGCTACTTAACCTTTCTCTTCAGGCTGTTTCCTTTCCAATCCATCGTTCACTCTGCTGTTACTCACTCTTCTGCGTAGTTTCTGTTACTTTCTTGTTGCTGAACTAAAAAAAAAAAAAAAACCGGGGGATACCAAAGCTCTTAGTGGTCATTTTTTTTTTTCTTTTCTTTTCTTTTTTTTTTTTTTGAGATGGACTCTCACTCTCTCGCCCAGGCTGGAGATCAGAGGCATGATCTCGGCTCACTGCAACCTCCACCTCCAGAGTTCAAGCGATTCTCCTGCCTCAGCCTCCTGAGTAGCTGGGACTACAGGCACATGCCACCACGCCCGGCCAATTTTTTGTATTTTTAGTAGAGATGGGGTTTCACCGTGTTAGCCAGGATGGTCTCGATCTCCTGACCTCGTAATCCTCCACCTCGTAATCCTCCCACCTCGGCCTCCCAAAGTGCTGGAATTACAGGCATGAGCCACTGCACCCGGCCTTCAGCCTAATCTTTCTTTGCTGTCCTATGATCCAACACTCATGAACTCATTACTGTTTTCTGAATTCACAAACTTTCTCCCTCACCTCAAGGCAAATTTCTATTTATATTCCAAGACTAAGCTCAGGGGTTATTTCCTCTTGAGACCTTCTCTGACTGTAAGCAGCAGTAGCTACTAGTTTTCCCTTTTGCTCACGTAACGTTTTGTTCGTATCATTGTAAGACCAGTGATGTTTCCATGTCTATCTCCTTCATTAGACTTTTAACAGAGAACCTGTTCAAGTCATTTCTGTCCCCAGCACCCACCATAAGGCATGACACAATAAATAATGACTGCAGGAAGGAACCAAGCAACCATGTTGTTTTGGAATTTTTGAAGGAGCTAGTGGGGTTTTATCTAGGGAGGAAAAGATCTTGACCGCATGCATGGAAACTTCTTAAGGATGTGAAGAGGGATGTGACATTTGTTGACTGCAATAGGTAAATCTAAAACTGATGATTTGAACTTACATGAAATATTTTACATCAGAACAAAGAAATTCTAATAGAACTGTCAGAAATGTAAAATTATCCTGAATGATTGTGAGTTCCCTGTCACTGGGATGTTCAAGAGGAGTGTATCAGGCTGTAGTTTAACTTATATGGGCTTTGAGTGCTGTCCCCTTCCCACCCTGGGTTTCAGAGATTGTGCAGGAATGGAAAACATGCCCTGTGGGTGCGGTACCTTGAGAATGGTTCTGCTTAATGAGAATTGGTAATACTGTGGCAGGGAAGTTTGGCCATCCGAGAATTTGTAAAGAAATAAAAGAAAAAGCACATATTTATCAAATGTACATACGATAATGGAATTGTTTATTTAATAGTAAAAATGAAATAACTGATGCACAAGTGAAATGGAGAACTTAAACATTTGAAGACAGATGCAGTTTTTCAAGTTGTGGGTGTTGGTGTGTCATCTTTTAGGATTCAGTGTGATAGAGCGAGTGTAATTAGAAAGACCGTGGTTGTGTGGATTGAGAGACCTGACAGTGTTTGCTTCCAGAATTTTGGTAGTGATTAAGTATCATTTCATAAGTATAATGTAGTAAGTACTGGTTGTGTAAGAATATCCTTGCTTTATAAGTCTTCGAGAAAACATTGGAAGTTAATAATTCATAATAGTGCTTTGGATTATGTTGTCTGCAGAGTTGCATTCTCCATGCTTGATGAGATAATAGATACTACCTTGGAAGAGAAATGTTATTAAATTTAAGCTCAGGCCGGAGTTGGTGTTCTTGCTCTCCTAAATACAATGAAAAGGAATTTGCTGTGAGGAGCAATAATGCTTTATAAAATGTAAAGGTGTGAAGTGCCACATATTGTTCTAGCAGGATTAATGGGAATCAGGGATACTAAGATGGCGGAATAGCCACCAATGTATAGACATCAAGGTGTTGAGGTCTACTACATGCCAAATGCTGTTTCATCTCCGAAGATGGGTCTGTGAACAAGATAGGCAAGGTTTGGACTCATGAACCTTGTATTCCACTGTGGGAGATCAAAAGCAAGGAAAATAAGACAATGTAATTTCAGGCAATAAGGGCTATGAAGATAAAGCTGGGTGGGGGATAGAGAGCCGTGGGGATAGGGTGAAGGTAGGTAGTTGTTTTAGGTAGGATGTTCACAGTAGGTAATACCTGAGTAGATACCTGAAAGAAGCAAGAGAGCAAATCACACAATGGTTTGTGGATGAATAGGCTTCCTAGGCAAAAGGAATGGGTAAGTATGAAGATTCTGAGGTCAATAAGCTTGGCGCTGAGGAGCAGACAGAAGCACCATGTTAGAACAAAGTGTGTAACTGGTTAGTTATGAAAACCATTGTGTTGAGGTATAGAAGGGAGAGGCAGTTATACAGTGACCAGAAAGAAAGGGTAAATTAGCCCCCAGATACAAATTGGAGAGATTCAGGTGTGCTTTGTTAACCTTTACCTAGCTTCCCCTAGGGAATGGGAGGTATTTTTGAGTACACTTTAGTATTTCTAGGGGCCCTGGTTTTCAAATACTCTTCTGTGTTCCATGTGCCAGCAGAAATAAGAAACCTTAAGAGAAGCCAGACTGATTCCTCTGGGGCTCCTGTAATTCCAGGAAACTTTGAAGTCAGGAACTGGAGGTGGGAGATTGTGGGAATAGTAGGAAGTACATGAGTCCAAGTCCTGGCTCAGTCCATGACTTACTATAATATGTTCACACTGAGTTTGTCTTCTAGCTTAAAATCCTTTTCAGTGAACAAGGAGGAAGATTTCAGCTGCATACCCCACAGATGAAATGACATGTATCTGTGTGTGAAACCTTTTCTAAGGGCATGAATTTTTCTGTAAATCCCTGTACAGTTATGTTTTGCCATTTACAATCAGTTTTCCCATAGAAATGGTCACGTAGTGAAGTTTTACGTTCCCAGGATACCACGTAGTCCATAATTAATGTATCTGAAATACAATCCTTGTAGTGTGATAGACGCAACTCATGGTTTGACACTGATTGCTTTCAGAGTTCGGGCATGATCACAGCTCTTCTTGTTAGAACCAGGACTGCACTCTCCCACTCCGTCATGTAGCAGGGCAGGCTCCCTGAGCTGTAGATGGTGCTTCCTGCATTCAGAGTGTGGAGTAAAGACCGTGGTTGGGTAAAGTGGGCATGAGGACCAGAATGGGGAGGAAAGCAAGAAGAGATGGTAGGCGTAGGGTTTTCACTTCTGTTCTCTTCCCTATGTGCCCTTCCTATTTTCAAAAATTGAGAAGCATCAGCCCACAGATAGTGGAAGGAGATTTTGAGGGAGGGTATACCGGGATTTGATGCTGAATGGTGCAGGCAGCGATGAGACAGGCTTCCCCTCTCTCCTCCGTACTAGGACTTCTGAGTTGGTGATACATGAGCTGAAGAAGATTGCTTGTGACTTCTTGCCACTTGCCGCTTACCCTATATTGTATCACTCCAACATGGGAAGCAATGAGCAGCCAGGGTTGGGGAAGTACTGCATGGAAGGGTAGTTGCTGCGTCGGATTCTCCGGTGACTGAGGGCTTCTCCCAAAGAGGAGAGAAAGAATTCCTTGGGCCTATTCCTGTCAGTGGAGTCCTAAGTGCTGCTAGACTGCTTCTGTTTGCTGGGGCTGCGTGTGTCACATAGTGTATTTTACAAGCCTTGATCCCCTTGTGAGAGACACGTTTTGGTTGGGTGTTCTCTGCATTTTTTTACATTCTACCTCTCTCTGCAATATATGTGGTCACTATATTAAAGTAGTGAAAACACGGCCAGGTGTGATGGCTCGCACCTGTAATCCCAGCACTTTGGGAGGCCGTAGCGGGCGGATCATGAGGTCAGGAGTTCAAGACCAGCCTGGCCAATATGGTGAAAAAGCTGTCTTTACTAAAAATACAAAAATTAGCTGGGCATGGTGGTACGTGCCTGTAATCCCAGCTCCTCAGGAGGCTGAGGCAGAAGAATCGCTTGAACCCAGGAGGCGGAGGCTGTAGTGAGCCAAGATTGCACTACTGCACTCCAGCCTGGGCGACAGAGTGAAACTCCATCTCAAAAAAACAACACAAAACAAAAAAACAAAAAACTAGTGACAACACATAACGAAGTAATTTTTATAAAGTTCCCCATACTCTATCTTGGGACCTGGATATAATGAAAGCTTAAAGTTTTTGTCTCTTTGCAGTAAATATACTAATTTTAAAATACCTCTTTTAAAGTAGCCATTTTAAGATCAGCTTGTATGAATTCAGGGCATTTTAAAACAGGGATTTATTATGTGGCTTCGTGAAAAATGCGTGTGAGGAGAAAGTGAAATGCTTTGTCCATATGAGGCAGCTGGATGTTTTGGGCATGCAGATGGGCTCCAGGGTCAGAGCTAGGTTCACGTCCCAGCTCAGCCACCTGTTGGCTGCAGGGTCTTAGGTACTTTGCTTACCTTTTTCTGAGACCAGTTTGCCTCATTTATAAAATGGAAAAATTGTGACTGCCTTTCAGGGTTATTGTATGCATTGGCATCAGGTAGGCACTTAGTTCATTGTGGTTTTCATGATCAAAGGAGTAAAAGCAGGAATTTGGGTGGAGTCTAGCAAAGAAAGTTTTTTGTTTTTTGTTCCTTAACAGTATAATAGTGGTAGCATATGTTTTAATGCTATTCTAAGAATTTCCAGAAAAGGCCATTTGTAACATTTTCTTCTTTCAGGAAAAATGCCAGCTGTGGGACAAGGAGTGCAGGCCGCACGACCTCAGCAGGCACCGGGGGGATGTGGCGATTCTACACAGAAGATTCACCTGGGCTCAAAGTGTAAGTCTTAGAAACGGTCCTTATGTTTCTGTCCAGTGGCAGCAGGGCAGCAGTGGCAGCGCTCTGTCTCTGTCACCAGTGGTGCTTGCCTTGATGAGATTTACTGTACACAACAGCCTCGTTCGTGCCAGGCAGCTGGGCTTGGTTTGCCTGTTTATCAACCGATTAGGCAGCGCAGGGCCAGGAATGACATCTCTTCACGGAGTGAGGGAAAGGAAGGGAAGTTCTTCATGGAGCTATGTCGAAATAAATGATGAGAAGAGAGAGAACTGGAGGGAAAACTGCTTAATTAGATGAAATTGCTCTTCATTTAGTGTTCTTGCCCCATACTGAGAAATAGGAGTAATCGTTTGAATAGGAATTGGGTGATTTTTCAAAGTTCTCCTGAAGGCATAAGCTGATATTATTACAACCTGATGGAGGTTTTCCCATTAGGCTGTGTTACCAGGAGTTCCTTGGCCTCCTTGCCTTTGGTGGGTGGTGAGTAGACTCAGGAGGGTGAACATATAATACCACTTTCCAAGTTGTTAGGCTTTGGAGTGGTCGTTAGGTGATAGGAAATGGGTATCCAGGGACCCCTATCCCCATGTCTTGCTCAGGGTTTCTGGTACTGTGTGATAGATGTGATCCCACAGATTTCTGTTAGGTTCCAGAACACCACTGCTTGCAACTGTTTCCTGACTAAACTTGGTGGATGAGGTTTAGAAATAATAACAGCAACTCTCGTTTACATAGCACTTGGTACTTTTCAATGTCTGTTGTCTAATTTGATCTGCCCAGCAATCCAGGGAGGTGAGAGATGTTACCATTTTGTAGATGAGGACCTCAGGTTCAGAGAGGCAAAGTGACATACTCAAAGACACATAGCAAGAGGAGGAACTGGATATTCTGATTAAGTCCTATGCTCTTTGCATATTGTCCATCTGGGTAAAAAAAAAAAAAAGACAAAATTGAATTAATTTGGAGTAGTTTTAATTAATTTAACCAGCATCTTGACTTGGATCACAAATTTAGTTTACAAAACCTTCCCTAGAATTCTTGTTTCCTCTTATATTGGAGACTTATATGATAACATAAGAATATATCTAGGAAGTAATTCTTGGGGTTGGGGATATGTGAGGTGGAGATGTCCTGACTGCCAACCTTTTGGTCTTTGGTGGAGGTAGTTTGAGTATTTCAGAGAGAATTTTTTTTTTCTCCTTTAGGGATAGGGTTTTGCTCTGTCACCCAGGCTGGAGTGCAATGGCGTGATCATAGCTCATTGTAGTCTTGAATTCCTGGGCTCAAGTGATCTTTACTCCAGGAGACAAAATTGGATAAATTTGGATTAGTTAATTAGTCCTGAGTAGTTGGGACTACAGGTGCGCACTACCATGCCTGGCTAGTTTTTTTGTACAAGCAGAATCTCGCTGTGTTGCCCAGGCTGGTTTCTAACTCCTGGCCCCAGCCTCTCAGGGTGCTGTGATTATAGGCATGAGACACTGTACCCAGCCTCAGAGAGAACATTTGAAGCCCGTTGCTCTTCAGGGGACTCATTTTAAACCTTCTCAAGAAGGTTGTCTTTTAATTTTTATGGGTATACAGGTATGTATTTATGGGTTATGTGAGGTATTTTGATACAGACATACAATGTGTAATAATCACATCAGGGTGCATGGGGTATCCATTACCTTAAGCATTTATCCTTTGTGTTATAAACAATCCAATTATACTGTTAGTTATTTTACAATATACAATTAAATTATTTTTTACTATAGTCATTTTGGTGTGCTAGCAAATACTAGGTCTTATTCAGAAGGTTGTCTTTAAATAAATCTTAATTTGAAAAAGAAAAGTTTGGTAATTGGTTCATTTGCACTGAAAGACTTTTCTTTTTATTTGAGAATATAACAAATACTTGAAATTAGATTAATGTCTCCAAGACATCAGATCATTTCGTTTGTATATATTTTGATATGTTTTACTAAAAGATAATGGCTCGTCCTTTCTAAACACAATTGTAATGCCATCATCACATGCTCAAAATATCCACAATAATAATTTTAGGAATTTTTTAAATGATATAAATAATGTTTCTGGATGAACCTTGAGTGCTGCCCACCTTACCTCTACTTTTCCCCTAGGTAATCTTTAGTATTGCAGACCTAATAATATATTATTACTAAAAGTAAGCATGCTTTCTCTTCTTATTTCTAGTGGCCCTGTTCCAGTATTGGTTATGAGTCTTCTGTTCATCGCTTCTGTATTTATGTTGCACATTTGGGGCAAGTACACTCGTTCGTAGATTCAGTTACATCCATCTGTCATCTGAAGAAGGAGGAAAAAAACCCAACATTTCTTGGACCAAAAGTATAGTGACTATCTGTTCATGAGAGAAATTTTCTGTAAGCTCGCGATTTTACGGGGGATTTATTAATAATTGATTTCGAGGAATCAGTTTTTTTCTATGGCTAATAAACTTTTTAATTCACCTATACCAAGTCTGATCATTGATGCCTCACTGCTAGGGCCCTTAGTCTTTCTGCCTTTAGATTTGTAAGTAAATATGTAGAAAATATGTCTTGTGAATATTGAGTTTTTTGTTGGATTGACAGTTCCTCACATGACCATGTGGTTATTCAAGTCCAAGATTCTGTAATTGCCCTTGGCTTGTTTTCTTCTAGGTATTTCTGCCCTGGTGATTGTCCTTTTGGGTATTCTGTGGTTATCAAGGAGTGTGTCTCTGACTCCATCAGACAGTTCTGTGTCCAAAGGCAGCTAGTACTCAGGAGAACAATCAAACAAGAAACCAGAGATCTTGGATGAAATGTTGTCACAGTCTGTTCTTTTGTCTTTAAGGCCATAGATTATATTTTGCCTCTTCTTTCTCAGTTCTTAATTTTATGAGTGTAGACCAGGGATTTCCATTCATCTACCTCTTATTGTTAAACCCTTTTTGAGAGAATTCATTTGATAAATTGGATTTCTCAAAATTTGGTAAGACTTATCCAATCAGAGTGAGATACTAGCATTTCTGCACTGAGTCGATATAATTCTAACCAGAAATAAAACTTAAGTTTCACTTAGCTTATGTTGCCATACTGGGTATAAAGATTCAGTTTCTGGTAGGCCCTAGGAAATACTAAGAATTGCTCAAAGGTAGCATACTGCAGCCAGAACTCCAAGCCAGAATTTCTGACAAGAGAGGGCATTCCCTGGGAAGTGTCCTAGTTGTCCAACAGAGTCACAAAATGATAAAGAGGTATATTATTAATAGTTAAGAAAAAACAGATAATTTTAGAAACATCTTTTTCATACACTAAGCCTATTTTTGAGAAAAAGTCTGAACAGTTAGAAAGTTTCTTAAGTGTTCTTTAAAATCCTAGCTGTAAAGTACTTTTAGATTCAAAGTGTCAAATTTAAATGATGAGAATATGTATCTTTAAAAAAGATTTCCTAGGGAAATATATTGGTAAGTGAGCTCTTGTAAATTCTAACAAATGGCATTTTATTGGGAAAAAATTGATGAGAAACTGGTTTTCTTGGATCCTGTGAGTTGCTTATTACATGAAACAGGTGTCTTCATTTTTGAAATGCAGGGAAAAATGTCTCAATTTCATTCGGAAGAAATTAAAGATGATGGTATCCATAATGGATTTTTTCCCTGATATCGAATTTGATGGTACCAATTATAGCTAAAAATTATGCCTTTAATTTGAAAAAGAAATCTGTCCCTCTGTCCAGAGGGGCCTTTTTCTCTGGGGGAGATGCTGCAGCCACATGGGGGAGCTGTTTGGTTGTGAGGGGTGCATTCTCTTTGCTGCACCCATCTGCCTAGCCATGGTCTTCAGTGGACTACTAGCTGAAAGTCACTGCATTTTCTGAGCTAGTGATTTATAAGATGCTAGTTTCAGTGGCAGAACAGGGAGATGCTTCATTCAGCAGAAGGAAAACGGGGGGTTGGGCATAAAGATGTACAACATCTATTATGTAGCTGCTTTGGGCTCTGATGATACAATGCTCATACGTAGCTGAGAATCGTAGTGTCCAAGCTGTTCCTTTTTTTTTGTTTAATTGTAAAATACACATCACAGAATTTACCATCTGAACCGGTTTTAAGTATATAATTCAGTGATATTAAGTACATTCATGTTGTGCAACCATCACCAAACTGAAACTCCGCAAATTAAACAATAACTACTTCTCCCTGCCCCTGCCCATATAGACCTCATGTAAGTGGGATCATGTAGTATTTGTCTTTTTGTGACTGGCTTGTTTCACTTAGCATAATGTCCTCAAGATTGATCCATGCTGTAGTATATGTTAGAATTTCCTTTTTAAAGACCGAACGATAATATTATGTGACTATGCTACATTTTGTGTTCCTTTCTCTTTAAGATATTCTCTTTAACAGGTATTCCTAGATTGTTGTTTCCTAAGCCCTAGGGGATGGGGATCATGAGCTATTTATAGTAAGTCTGAAAGCCTAACTAATTAAATCTTTACCTTGGCCCAACAAATCCTCAGTCTCCCTTGAGCATGGACTATAATTCTAACCATTTCTGATGGATGCATAAGCCAGCACTTGCTGAGCAGAAGCTCTGAGTAATTAAAGAAAACTGGAAAAACGAGTTACATTATAACTGCAGTTTGAGTCGAGCCTGTTAAGCCATTGGGGGAAAAATATGTTAGAGAAAAGGCCCAATGAGTCCCTGAAACTAGTAGGGATTAGAAAGAGTAGGGTCTCTGGGCCCTATTACCCTAGACATGTTCCAGTGAGACACTGGATAAAGATAGCATCTGTGCCTGGGAGAAGCTAAATATGTTATAGCTTCTGTTTTCACACCTGTCCTCATCAGTCTTTTTTTTCAGGTGCTAGTGTCTCCATAGGAAGAATTGAAAAGGATGTTCTGAAATCATGCAAATGTTGGCATCAAGTTAAAATAGATGAAAATGCCTACAAAGCTGGATTCATTCAACAGAAAATACTGTCAAGCATGTGGAGCTCCTATGTGCAGAGAGCCATGCTCCTGATTCCCATAAAGCTGCCCCTTGGTAGCTCCAGAGCCATTGTTCCTTTCTTTGAGTGCTGGAGGAGGAGGGCCAGATCAAGTTTGTTTTATTCTTTGGGTGCACCTTCTAAACTTAGCGTTACCTACTTTATACTATCATCTGCAATTATAAGTATTTTTGACGTGGGTTCAACTGCTGGCCCTAAAACATAAGCAGTTGTGTGATCTTGGGCAACTCACTTCTCTGGATCTCATTTTTCTTATACATAAATGAGTATAGGTGTGATAATTCCCACCAGATAAGAGATTTGACGAGAGAAAGCTGTAAGAATGCTGCATTAACTAGCTAACATAGGGGAAGCTAAAGATCACCTCTACCATCTTAGTTCTTCAGTGGGATCTTCAGCTGGGTCTGGAATCAAATTGGTACAAGACAAATTAACAGGAGGAAAGCATGTACATTGTATTAATTTTTACATTGTACATGGGGACCCTCACAAGAGAGTAAAGACCCTAGGAAATAGCCAAAGGAGAAAGCTCTTACAGGTTTTAGACAAAGAACAATAAATTTGTGAAGCAATGACAGGACAAAGGAATCTGGGATGGGGGCAGTAAATTCTAGGGAAGTCACCAGGAGATATATGGGGTGGAGGGTTGTAGAGATAGTGGAAGATAAGGGTTTCTTCAATAAGCTTATTTGTACAGGTTAATTGCGGCAGCAATGCTCAGGGCCTGATATTTTCTCACCTTGGTGTGGGAAAGGCATCCTCCTCAAAGGATCTTTTATGGTTTGCTACATGTAGGAAAGTACAGGTCAGATAACCCTTTCTGCAACTACAGTTATTTAAATGCTTACAGTTCCTTAAATAATATATCAAATCGGCCTATTTTAGGGTAGATCATCCTTAACTCCTTGACTAACAGTTAACAAGTGCTTATTTGCAACAATTTTAGACGGTTTTTTATGTAATAAGCAATCTAATGAGGAGTTTGCTCTTTGCCCCGTTTTACACAGGAGGAAACTGAAGCTTAAGCCACTCAACTGATAAGTGGAAGAGCTGGGATTTCACTGCAGATCTTTGACTGACCTACTAGAGTCACATAGATGGAATTCTTAAGTATTTGGGGTAAGGGAAGGGCATCACAACAATAGAGCTTGAAAGGTAGTGCCTTTAAAAATAACAGTCCCAAGAATGTGCTCCACTATTGTTTGATGTTCTTCAAGCCTTAAGTAGCTTTAGTTTGAGGTTTTAGATTCTGCAGAAGGAATTGGTGTTTGTATTTCTGTCTTTCTGAGCTTTATTCATTCTATGGAGCTCTTGCAGTTATAGAGAAAGCATAGTGTTTAGGCATTCAGCAGACATTTAGTGAGCACTGTGTGCTATGCCCTTTTATTGGGGTTTTAGAAATGACCTGGCAAGGTCGTTAGCTTAAATGGACTGGGCATTTGTTTACTAGGATCCTATTCCTATCTGGGGCTACAAATTAGAAATGGCTATGTGATTATGGAAAAACCAATAGGAAGCCCTCTCAAACCCCATTGCCATTGGTGATATCAAATAGGACCACAGTTTAAGAACTAGTATGCTCATGGTGCATGGGCTGTGGTGCCAGGGATTGCAAAACTGGCACTGTCCCCAGGAAATCCATACTGTATGATCGCTTGTCCAACAGAGGAAAAGCAAAGAATCCTGAGATGCCTTAGCTGGAAGGGCTGCGAGTTCACTGGGTTCTCTCCATTGCACGACAGAGTAGACAGGCCCAGAGAGGGGAAGGGACTTGCCTGAGATTGTACAGCAGGTTTGTAGCAGAACAGAGGCCAGAACCAGTCTTTCCTGTTTCCAGACCAGGGCTTCTTCCCAGTACTGCACTATGAAACCAATTTTGAACCTGTGCATAAGCCTGTTGACCTCTCTAGAGGGTAGACTCTGGAAGTAGGTAAACGTCCAGAAAAAGTAGGAAGTGGTAGGCTTTGAATAGTGGGCAGTGTTAATCAAAGTGTAAGGAGTGAAGACAGCAAGGCTAGCTAGTAAAAATAAAATGAACTGTTAGCAACTTTAGGAGAAAGTCAAGTTCATGAGACTTTATAGAGACAAAATAGGGAGAAGCAGCTAGCAGAACTGCAGTGTTTTGCATTTTTGTGACCACAAATGTTAGGTGAGCTGGGAACACAGTTAAACTGAGCAAGTAGGGTTAAGGTTTGAGTAAGGGCTAAACTGTTGAAATGCTATTCCTGGTCACTCTGGCAACTGGGTCTCTTTCCCATGCTGAAGGCATTAAAATAAGATAAAACATGCAAATTCACTAAATCGGAATCAAAGGTGTAGTCATACAAAGGCTGGATTGCTCCATTTTAAGGAAATGTCTAGAAGTTTATGCCTCAGAAAGCAAATGAAGACATGAGGGGAAGAATCTGAATTACATATATAAAGATTAAATTCGTCCTGCAAACATGCATACTCATTTTTTTTTCCCATTGACTCTG